TACATTTCCTTGTTTTGTCAGCCGAAAGGGCCAAGAAGTAATGACAGCCCAGGAAAAACTAGCACATCTGCACCCAGACCTTGGTTTCTATTACCATTCTCAGAGATAGGAACCACGGCTCTTGGAGAAATTGCCAATTCTAGGACTGAAATAGGAAATATACAAGAGGAGACTGAAGCATCTTATAATGTCAGAAAATAAGAAAGTTTTCAATCTACACAGATGTGCATGATAGGGGCTGAGTGTCACAAGGATACAGGAGCCAACTGAAAGAACTCCTAAAGGCCAAAGCTGGAACAATCTGACCCACAAAATAGATAATGTAGCATTGGATTATAACCCAAAGAACAAAATACAAATCCATGTGTCCATTTGGACATAGATAAATAATTGAATTAAACAAATAAATGGAGAGAGTAGACATCTCCTAAACAAAAGAATTCCCAATCATTTATGTAGATTATTCACCCTCAGTCAGGTAGATTAAAATTCACTTTCCTTAAACATGAGCTGCACATAGTGAATTTGTTCCAAAGTACACAGTATAGAAAGAGGGGATAAGAAAGAATAACCTTACAGTGGAGAAACCTGGCCTTAGCCAGATGATCAAGGTCAACATCAACAGTGATAAGTGGTATTGACGGTATGATGGGATCGGCTGTGATAAAAGACAGTGCTTTATCTCTGTAGTCTTCCTCCCCAGAACCCATAATTTTAGTCTCAGCATGAGAAAATCATCAGACAAACCCAAATTGAGGAATATTTTACAAAATAACTGATCAGTGACCAAAATAACCTCAAGCCTAACAAGGTCATTAAAAACAAGGAAAGCTGGAGAAACCGTTAAGAATCCAGAAGGTCCTCAGGAGACATGATGACCAAATGGAGGGGATCCACGCCACTTGAGTGGCTGGAGAAGCCTTTTGAGCTAGAGGGACTCAGTTGGCGGCAGCTTCTGCAACCAGGTGGGTTAAGACCATCCCCCGAGACAAGGCATTTGATGGAGCAGCTGTGGTTTGGCCGGGCCATCAACTCTAGCCTCTTCCTTGCTGGGCCTTTCCCTATAGCCCAGGCTCCAAGGATCCCTTGTCATTTCTTCTACTTGTTCTTGGGAAAACTGGGCAAGAGAGGAGTTTTGATGATGTGAGGATGCAGTGATGTGTTTTAATGCACTGTTTCCTGGGGACCTGGAATGAAAATTTTAACAGCTCAGAAGCTGTGCACTGAAAGTGCCTCTACTGTGGGTTCTCAGAAGGGTATTCCAACTAAATTGAAGAAATAAATATGCATCTTCCTCGTTTTTGTTGAGCAATCACCGCACAGAGCCCGAATCCTTAAGTGGCAGTGTGCTCCTCCGCAGAAAAAGCAGCCATCTCCAAGGGGCCTGGCTGTGCACCCTTTCAGCTCCGTCTGTGCCCTGTGGCTGTCAGGCCACGTGCCTCACAGGACCTGCCTAGAGCTGACCTGATGTACCAAACCAGGGAACAACCCAGCAATGGAAAGAGAGAAAATTGTGGGAGAAAAATCCACAAAAGAAAATGTCTACAGCGTATGTCATCAGTGTCTCAGTGCACAAAGGGTCCACATACAAGCAAACCCTTGTGCTTGGGCAGGTCCTTCTTGAGAAGGAATGGAGGGAGCTGGATCTGCAGTGCCCTGACATCAGTCAGAGTGGGCTCTGTGGGTTGTGCCATCTCCTCTCCACCTCTCCCTGCCCACATCTGGGTACCCAGGTCCTGAGAGGTCTGGTGCAGGGGAACCACTCACCTCACATTGCACCTAAGTGGGTCAGACCCAGGAACCCTGGCGTCTGACATTTATTCCACTGGCCCCTCATGCAGCTGTATTTCCCTGGTACCCGGCATGAGCTTGGTTTCAGCCTTTCCCCAGATCCCTGCAGAAACACTTCCAGGACGGCCCCGTGGTGGTGTTTAATGAATGGAAACGTTCCCTCACAAACAGAAAGAAAAAAACCTACACCAATCCCCAAACCTGTTAGTTGGAAAATATTCCAAGATCAACACATTTTAATTCACTAATTAATACAGCTAAAAGGCATTTTTCATATTAGACTTATTAAAATCACTTGTATTTAAGTGTTTTTGAACTCATATTTTCCGATGCTGTGCGTTTTTCTAAAGTGTTCTAGTCATGTTATGCAAATGCCTATTTAAATTACCAGGGGTATTTGTTTTCTATTTCTACTCTGTAAAACATAATTTTAATACAAGTTATTTGTGAAATGCACATTGGAAAAAAGAAAATAAGATTTGAGATGGCATTTCTATGATAATTTTATTGCAAATGTTGACCATGTTTTTGTATTTGTCTGCAAAAGGTAATGCAAAATATACATAAGACATATTTCTGGGATTTATTGTTGTATGTGACTAAATTAGTAAAGGAAAATTTGCTTCATTTTTGAATCCAAGGCAGGGCAGTCCATCACCCCGTGAAGCATGTTTTAGAGGGAACAGTCACGGCCACATAGCAGGCTGAACTCTACACCATCACAGAAAGAAAATTTGCTCTTGCTCTGTGCTTAAACAAGATTTTCTGACACCTGTGTTCTGCCAGACATGACATTTGAGGCAGAAACACAAGCCAATGCAGAGGACAGGGAGACTCAGCTTGAAGGACAGGAATGCTGAGTGAAAAACATGACCAGGGCTCTCTGGAGTGACAAAGTGGTAAATGCAGGGGGCTAGACTCCAGCATGGGAGAGAGCCTTGGGAGAGGACCCTGGGTGGTGGTGGGGGAGTGGAGGGGTGGGTCTTCCACTATAGATTTATCCAAGATGTGTAGACTTTCTCCCACCAGCACCTTTACGGTGCATGTGTGATACAGACAGAATAAGATGGCTAGAGGCAAAAGACAAAATTGAGAGAGGGAACTCTATTGAAGCTAGATATTAATGCTATTTCTGAGCTTCCTGGCAGCCAAAGCAAAAAAGGAAAACATAATGAGTTCAATGTCTTTCACTGTCCAGTCAAAGGATACCTACCTCTTAGAGGAGATACCTATCCCTTAGTCTTCCAATCTCAGATGAAGACATGGCCCTCCTGCATTCCACCTCCTACTGCCAAAGGAAATCAGAAACATAGCAAGCTCTGAACCCCAACAGTGAGTTTACAGGGGATGCAGAAATGCCCTTAGGAAGGGTGACTGGATTCAAATGAAGGGTGCGGTGGTCAGTCACAGCTCCTGTTTCTGTGTTAAGGTGGGGGGCACCTGTAAGAGAAGGAGACTTCATCTCCAACCCCCCAACCCTGTCCTACAGGGCAGGCATTGTTCACTCTTACGTGGCTAGCCCAGGTCTGGATTTCTCCCCAGGCTCCCTTGAGACCCTGGGAAGGAGGCTGCCATTCTGAGAGCTGGCTGGGGCACAGGGCTGGCGAGGGGAGTGCTGCAGGGCACGCGAGCTGGCGGGGACTTCATTTCAATCCGTGTTTGTTCCTTTGGGTGCTATACAAATCAGGGCAGGGAAACACAAACTACCCACCTGCCACGTGGGGTAACCCCTCCACTGGTACCTGCGGAGAGAGGCCTGGAGAAAGGGCTCCCAGCAACTCCTGAGCACACACCGCAGGCTTCGTCCCCAGGGGACACAGTGCATGTCTCTTGTCAGGACCTGACAGTGGGTGCCGTCAGGGCCAGAGAGCTGAGATCTCAGCCAACTTGTGTTCAAATCAAAGCTGTGTGACTCTGGGCCAGGCCTTCCGCACCCCGAGTTCTGTCTCCTCATCCCAAAACACGGAGAAGACAAAACCAGCCATGCAGAGCCGTGGTAAAACTGGCATTGTAAGGAATGTGTGCAGAATGCCATCTCACAGAGAGTGCTGAGGGCCCTCGAAGACCTCGGTGACAGTGACAATGAGAGAGGGTGTGGGTGGCCTTGAAGAGCTCCAAGTACATGAGTACAAGCTCTGTGTACATGAGGCTGTTAATCTGAACAGTAATCCTAGGAGGTGAAATATGACTGTTACCATTCCCACTTCATGTAAGAGGGATTGGCTCAGAGAGGTTCAGTGACTTCACAGTGATGCACAGCATGTCAAGGGTGGGGCTGGGATGAGGCCAAATACCCTGAGTCTCATTCAATGTTCCCTTCGCCCCCGAGGGCTGGGGAAGTGTCTCATCCAATTGCTGGGCAGGACCAGGCCTTGGCAGGACTACGAGTGCTCAGCCAGACACCGGCCACGTGCTTGGAGGCGGGGGTGGGTCACTTTCCACCTTCCCTGATTCTCCCTTTCCCCTGGTGCCATTGGAGCTGGATTAATTAGCTAAAGCCTGTGACTCCATATCTACAAAGGGGAGTGAGAGGTCCCCAGTTGGGTTTCCCCGCACCCCCCAACCTTGAGTGCTTCTTGCTACTCAGGCTGGTGAGCAGGCGATGCCCACCTGAGGCCTAGGAGCCCGCGGATTTCCTTTCTCGGAGTGGGGGCCGCGCTGTGTTGAGTCACTCAAAGGGGCACGTGCGGCCTTCCCCCCGAGACAGACCTGTTCAGAGGGCCATTGCTGGGGAGCCTGTGGCTGGAGAGCCAGCCGCCCTGGCGGCCACGTGCAGAGACCAGACCAAAGGCCTGGACTGGGAGGTGAGGAGCCGTGACAAACATTTTAATGTCTGAGGCCTTTGGAGGCATCGATAAGCTCGGATCTTCTCCCCAGAAATTTTAAAACAGAGTCCCTGATTCTGGGGGCGTGGAAAGCCCTCAGGTGGGGTTTGCTAAGTGTCACTGCTCCCCAGGGTGGGTGCCCTTCACAGCCCGAAGAAGAGGCTTCCTCGCGGGCCAGGCCCACTGGGAGTCAGCCTTCAGGTCTCCCCTCACATCCTCGCTCTGGACCGCTGTCCTCTCCCATGTCTGAGCCGGGTCTCAGTGGAAGGCAGAGCCGCCGGCCGCCTGGCTGCTTCCCTGCCGGGGCTGGGTGCGGCATCCATGCAGCTCCGCGGCTGGGGCTGCAGACACCATATAGGGCGTCAGCAAAGTCCCCAGGCTCACCCAGAGGAACACGCCTGCCCTCCAGAGAGGTTTCCAACCCAAGTCTCCGGATGTTTAGTGAGCTCCTTCTCCAGGTCCAGCTCTGAAAGGCGCTCGGGGTCCAATGGGGACTGAGGCAGATGCCGGCCAGGGCTCAGGGGCTCGCAGGCTGGAGGCGAAGAAGGACACCACATAAATGGTCACAAACTAGTGATCAGAGCTGGCAAAGTGATGCAGAGGAGAGACAGGTCAGTGAGGTGCTCCCCTCAGTGCTGCACAAAAGGTTCTCTGGAGAAATCTGGCCTGAAAGGGGGTTGTGGGGTGCTCACCCATCTGATTCACAGTTGATGAGTAAGCTCCCACCATGAACCAGGAGCTGGGTGAGGGGCTGGGTGGACACAGCTGACCAAACCTGGCAGGACTACTCTTCCCTGGGAGATCACGGTTGAGGCGAGGGTGGAGGGAGGCAGGCCAGGAATGGACAAAACAATGCCATAGTTTTGGGGGTGATGATTAGTGTAATGAAGAAAATGAAATAGCGGATGAGATAGGGCACTGCTGGTGGGACCTACAACTGAGGGGATAAGGAAGGTCTCTCTGAGGAAGCAGCGCAGAAGCAGTGACTGAATGAGGTGAGAAGCCAGCTGGTGAGTTGGAAGAGCAGCCTGGCAGATAGAAGAGCAAGTGCAAAGGCCCTGTGGCAGGGAGGAAGCAGGAGTGTGAAAGAGCACATGGAGGCCTGTATGCCTGGAGCATGCAGGGGAGAGGGGCACGAGAGGAGGGGTCTGCAAGGCCAGGGGTCTGCAGTGCAGTGAGGAGCCACCAGAGGGGTTAAGAGAAGACTGACATGATTTGCCTGTGCTAAAAATAAACCCCTCTCCACTGTGCAAGATGATACAGCAATTCCTCAAAAAAAAGAAGAAAACAAACATACAATTACCATACGATCCAACAATTCCATTTCTGGGTATGTATTCAAAAGAACTGAAAGCATGGTATCAGATATTTGTACACCTTATAGCAGTATTGTACACCTTTATAGCAGTATTATTCACAATATCCAAAAGATGGAGGCAATCCAAGTATCCATCAACAGATGAATGGATAAACCAATGTGTTATATACATTCAGTGGAGTATTATTCAGTGTTAAAACGGAAGGTAATTCTGACATGCTATAACAGAGTGAAGATATTATGCTAAGCGAAAGAAGCCATTCACTAAAGGACAAATATTATATGATTCTGTATATATGAGGTTCCTAGACATTTATGGAGACAGAATGGTATTTGCCAGAGTCTGGGGAGCAGAGGGAAAGGGGGGTTATTATGTAATTACTGCAGTGTCAGTTTTGCAAGATGAAAGAATTCTGGAGATGATGGTAGTGAGGGTTACACAACAATGTAAATGCACTGACACTGGTCTATACACTGAAAAATGGCTAAAATGGTAACGTTTATTTTATGTGTATTTTACGCACCAAAAATCCTTCTGGTGGCTATGTAGAAGGAAGCAGGGAGCCAGCCCAGGTCAGGGCTAGCGAAGGCTTGGAAGAGGGTGGAAGAAGTGAAGATGAAAGGAAAAGCGGCCTGACTGGAGGTGTGCCGGGGAGCTGGCAGTGCCAGGGCTTCCTGACACAGGCTGTGCAGCGTGAAGGGAGCGAGGGATGGAGGGCGTCCTGGGTTTCCGGACTGAGGAATTCACCCAAACAGTCTGCTCCGGAGCAGTTTGCAGAGACTGGTCAAGGTGAGAGCAAAATCTGAACCAAGGCCTCCTACAGACATGACTTTGAGGGACCCCACAGGGGAAGAAGCCCTGAAGCCTGTAGGAAGTAGTTTTCAGGGCCAGGGCAAAGTTTAATGGATGGTGTGAAGTTGGATCTGGTCCTATAAGAGTGGAACACACAGATGAAAAGAAGTTGGGAAGGCGGAGGTAGGGAAGGGCTGAAGACAGGTGGGCTGTCTGCCTGGCATGGATTTTAGGGAATAATAATGTGCTGATAGGGATGACCTAGGCTTTCTGCCCAGGTCCTAAATGCCCAAGTGAAGAGTCCAGACGTTATTCAATAAACACAGCTTTGACTGGTTCCTACAGAACAGAAGGGAGAGAGAGAAGTCCAGGTGAGGCTGGCTATTATCAGGACATGGCTTGCCTGAGCATCCAGGTCCCCCAGGCTCTGAACACAGTCCTGGGATGCCTCAGTGGAGGTGGCAAGATGTGGGCCACTTCCATTCCATCCTGGAGATGGAAGATCCTAGAATAGATTGAGGCCTGTGAGCCATCTTCTTCTTCCTTACCTAGCCTGCTCTTGTCTACCCAGCCTCTCCCCATTGTTCACGGAGCTCCAGACACATTGACCTTTCTGCTGTTCTGCAAACTCATGTGCTTTTTTTCAGACTCCAGGGCCTTTGCACTTGCTCTTCCCTCTTCCCTTTGCCAGCAAGGCTTTCCCACCAACTATTCACTTGGCTCCTTTTCATCATTCAAGTCTCTGTTTAAATACCTCAGGAGGCCTCCCTGACTCTGCTCTCCAAAGCCTCCCCATCCCATTCCAGTTTCACCTTCCTTCAGGTTCTTGTCACTAAAGTGAACCTGCTTGTTTTCTTGTTAATTGCATGTCTCCTACCTCTATCCCAAGTAGAAAGGAAGCCTCAGAGCCTGAGACCTTGTCCATCTTGGTTACATGTCCTTGTGTTTTCAGGACTAAAACGGTGACCTGTGAAGTGAATACCATCAGTATTTGCTGAATGAATGAATATTTTAGGGGCTGTCAGTACAACTGGAGATCTAGCAGGCCCAGGGTGATCCCCGGGGACCCAGGATTCCAGATACCACCCCACCCCACCCAGGAGAGTTTCTGCTTTGTTCTCCCTTGGGCTTTCGGCAGCAGGAAGGCCAAGGGTGTTCTGGGTTTGGTTTTTGTAATTGGTTTGATATGATCATGAAAAGTATCTAAAATTGGACAGCTGGAAATGTTTTTCCTCCCATTTATTACTTAAAACAGCCTTAGAGTTTGAGGTTGTTTTTAAAATCAGATTCTCCTCACTGAAAAAATAAAAAAATCTAAAAAAATACCACAAGCCCACTCTTGCATATTTTTGAAGAGACCCCACAAGGTCATGACAAGGCCTCTGCTTGTGGGGGCAGGGCTCCTCCGTGCTCCAGACAAGAGCCGGGAAGCGTCCAGAGCTGGGGCTTAGCCATCCTGCCGCTGTCGTATCAGGAGGAGAAGATAAATTAAGATGAGTGTATTGCACAGTTAGACATTAACCACGACAGTGAAAAAGTATTGTGAATGTTAAAATGGCCCAGACTAAAATATACTGAGGTTAAAATACAGGGTAACTTTACAAATCACTAATAATTTCTTTGGCTTTCACTGCAATAACATTGATTTAATTCATTAGATTCCTTTCTAAATCTATATTTCAGTTTTAGAGTTGTCAGTTTCTGTTAATGACAATTTTGCCCCATCTGTTCCAACATGAAAATGAGGCTCCTTGCAGCAGACAAGATAGATCTTCAAGAGTTTAAGAAGGAGAAGTCTTAAAGGTATTTCACTCAGATTAGGCCCTGTTTGATGATTCACACTCAAAATGAAGCTACCCACAAAAAAAACTTTGTGTGGACACCGGAGGAATGGGGAATGCCCTCCCCCAATAGCATCCACTGCCTTGCCTGCCTGCCGGTGGCTGCCCTCAAGTCAGATGGGCCCACTGTGTTGTCATTGGTTTGTATATTGGAGGGGAATATTCAAAACATTTCCACTCATTCTTCTTCTTTTTTTTAATGACAGAGCAATAATTCTGGGTGTCAGCATATCAGAATTCCAGCGGCTGTGATTAGAATGAAAATGTGTTGCTATAATTTGGCCATTCAAATCGTCATATTACAGTAAGTTGTTTCTGTAAGCCCGGTGAGCTTCTGCCTGCCTAGGGGCAGTGTCTGGCTTCCCAGCTCTGTGAGAAACATCTTTGACAATCCCCTCCAGCCCACCAGCCTACTCCTCTGTCAGTCTCCTGAAGGGGATAGTTTTGAAAGCATAGGTGAGTGTGTCCAAATCTGGAACCAGATGAAAGCATTGGAGGTCCCGGTGCAGGCTGGACACAGTCCTCTTCCCAGAATGTGAGAGTACTCGGATTCCCTGAAGAGGATGGGCCTTGCCTGGCCTCAGATAGGGAGTCGTTTCTGAGCCTCAGGCATGGTTGCATGTTTGGGGGGCAGGGAGATGTTCCACTCATTATCAATCATGGAAAAATAAACCCACCCATTAAAGAAGACACATGACCCAAGGAACCAGGGATTTTTAAAATTTGAAAACTTTCTGGAAAAACATGCAGGCATTAAAACATATATGGAATTAAGCTGGATCCTCAAAGTTAATATTCACCATATGTATTTACATTCAACTCAACTCCAACAAGTTGAGTACTGCACAGCAGCATGGGGAAAGAGGAGATTGCCTCTCGCACGGGCTGACGTTAAGTTGAGTTACTGTTCTGCTGTAGACTTCTCTGTAAAGTCTAAAGACAGTTGAGAAAATCAGACTGAAAATTCTCCTTGTGGATATGCCTTCTAATTTCGAATACAAATGAGTGAAATTTTCACATTTCAGATGTCACACCTTGAGCAAATTAAAAATCAACAAAAATACTAAGGTTCTATGTTACCTGCTCAAGTGTACAGAATGTATAAAAACTTTAATCAAACACTTGGGTTTGCTCAGTTTCAAATTGTGTTAGTTTAATAGTTTCTTTTCTGCTGTTTATATTAATGACATATTCCCATCTAAATATATTGCCATGCTGAAAAGCCATCACAACATTTCTAAGGTTGAATGAATGCAGTTGTACTCATGGTTTTTTAATAAAAAGATCTCTTTCTATTAAGTCCCCTCTTTTTTTTTTCCTCCAAAGATCGAGGCTCGCTACTGTGTGTGCAGAGGCTCGGGAAGCGATATAAATACACATCAGTAGCACCTCATTTAGTGTGCAAATGCCGGCTCTCTAGCCACGGAGAGCTGAGGAACCACCGCTTTCTCACATGTCCCAGCTGAGGATGAGGCCATGGAGGGTCTGGTGGAAACGCAAATTGCTTTTTGTAAGCATCGACTGAAGATCTCATCACTTGGGAAAATGTCTTAATTTGCTCTTCTCGGCAAAGCAGTAGC